ATGAAAAGAGCCAAACCATCAAACATGAAGTCAAAGACGCTTCTCTTTCTGTATCCACACTGAAACACCCTGCCCTTCAGAATAAACCTGAAAGGTAAGCCAAGTTCGGCTCACAGGCCTCTGGGAGCTACTTCTCGAAAGGGTGGGAAATTCTCCTCTAGTACCTTGCAACCTGTCTTGGTGATTCTTTTTAAAAAATGGCTCTCTTGATCATTTTACCAAGCAAGTTCAAGCTAACATGCACAGTGCCCCATTATAAATTCATGGGGAAACTACACCAAAAATAAAATTACCCTTGATTAATTTTCTTTCATCTTTTTTTCTTTCTGTATTTCTGTCTTTCTTTCCTTCTTGTTCTTTTTCCTGCTTCTGTGCTGTGGTGCTAGAAATCGAACCCTGGGCCTCGTGCACCCTAGATAAATGCTCTGCCATTGAGCGATACCCCCAGCCCTGACTCATTTTTTATAGTGTATATTTTAATCCGAATGTGTCAGCTACACAGTAAAAGAAGCATATTCTATAGGATTAGTATTGATGAGAACAATAAAAAAAAAGATTTGTTTCATGTGATACTTGGGTTGTTTTTTTTAAATAATCACACTTACAATGTAAAAAAACATGTTTTTTAATTTACACAGGAAAGGGGAAAGGCTGATTTATGATTCTCATAGTCAGAAAATTAGCGCCCTGGGGTTTTTCTAGAGTCCACAGCAAGTTCAGATTTTTCTCACAAAGAAAGATGATGTTCACCAAGCCTGGCTGTCCGCACACTGAACCATGCACTCGCTGGTGTGACCCAACGCTTACGGAGAAACACAACTAAGAAAACCCACCTAAGGACGTGAAACAGGCGTAGTCATTCAGGGAGTTCCAGAATTAACTCTGTCCCACTCTGACACAGTTTCCCACTGCTAATCAAGTAGTGACTGTCTCACGTAGAGCTATTGGTACATACTGAGGACGCGGCCCTTGGACTCCCTCACTACACGCGTAGTAGATGTGGAGACCAGGGATACACCAGGAGGATGACTTGCCCCAGGACACTCAGTGAGTACAAGGCAGAGCAGAGATTAGAGCTCCATTCTTCCAGACTCCAACACCAGGCTATGTTTTTTTTTCTTTTATACAGTAGTATGGGTTGTACCACCGGTTTTCTCACTGTTACATCACCAGTCCTTTTCTCATTTTTATTTTAAGAGAGGATCTTAGTAAATGGCTGAGCTGCCCATGTTGGGCTCAAATTTGAGATTCTCCTGCCTCAGTCCCCCAGAGTGCTGGAATTACAGTCGTGTACTACCACCCCCAGTTTCCATGCTATGAATCATGAATTTCTGTATTTTATTGCCTATTTCTGCTAAAGTGACTTCCTTTAAAAAAAAAAAAAAAAACAACTTTTTTTTCTTCTACCAAACTGTAAAGTCCTCTTAGGGTAAGAACTGAATTCCACTCAAAGGCTTGTGTCAATTACAATTAAGCCAAAAATGCAAGTTGTAGGCTCTTCCGATGAATGCCATAAAGACAGGTCTCCCTTGCTTATGTAAGGGGGCCTCTTCCTATCCAGAATTTAGGCAGTTCACAGCAAAGATCCTCAGTTTCAATCCCCTGTCACTGGAGGCATTCTGAAACTACCTCACAGAGAAGTTTTACTAAAAACGGAGAGAGTAGAGACAAAAAGGGAGAAATTATATGACAGTCAACCTAGAGTTTTGTCCTCAAGCAGCACAAAGACACGAAAATCTATTCTTAAGTTCCCCTGAGCCCACAAAAATCCATAATTTCCAGTGGTGTGTGAACTTTCCATCCTTCTTCTCCCAGCCCATACCAGCATCCTCAACTTCCAGGACAGCACAATGGAGCCCACGGGCAGCTCTCGGCGACTCCTCTGCCTTCCGATCACCCCATACACACCCTGCCCAGCAGAGACACGGGCTGTGCTTTCCACTCACTTCTCTTTTGAAATGGAAACACCTTCACCTGCTCTGGGTGGGAGCATGGCTACCTGAGATAAACACTTTCCACATGGTCCCTTGCAGCACGGTGTGGCTACGCGCTTACATCCTAGCTAATAGGATACAGGCTGAGGTATCTGGGGACAACTTCCACAGGAGATGCTGAGCCTGTGTCCTTTGCTGTTCTTTGCTCCTCTTCTGCTTCCTGCTGACTGAAAGAAGGATGTGATGTCTGGAGAGTCCAGCATCCTTCTTGGGCCGTGAGATAACTATCTGTCCCTAGGGATGCGAGGGCAGAAAGCAGAAGAGAACAGAAGGAACTGGGTTCTGGGCTGCTGACTCCGGTAAGAGCATAAAACCTTTTGCATTTTCTGTAATAATGTTGATCTTGCATCAAATACTTCTTCACGTTAAGAAGAAACATTTGGTGCACAAAATGATCATAGAATAAGCAGCTCCATGATTCCAAAATTAGTCTCAGACCATGCTGAGTTCAGGGATAGACTTCCCTCCTTCCTGACGTTCCACAACCTAAGCATGTCAGTTCCAGGGACTATCAATCTGATGTTCCACCCTTTCTCTTCTTCCCTCTGCTCCAACACAAGTGAAACACACTGTCCAAGCAGTGACATAAGAGGACCAGATGTTCACAGCTGGGTTTTTACTCCTACCTGCAGCCGTCTCCATTGCAAAGCAATCCCACAGGGCCTGTCTTCTCACACGCAGCTGTCCCACCAGGGAGGTAGTTTGGGGACAACCACAACACCCTAAATTTTTTGAATGCTGACCCTGTGCCAAGCTCTGATCCAATCACCTAAGATATTGCAATGACTTGGAGCTGCTCAGCAACTCCAACTTATGTGGTATTACTAGCCCCATTTTACAGATAAGGAACCTGAGGTACAGAAATGCTAAGAAATATGCCTAGGAAGGCTCAAAGTGAGGACTCAAGCTCACAATGACATACCTGGTAGTTTGTAAGCATGTCCACTACTCTATGCTCTTCCAAAGGTGGAGGGATGGGGTGAGAAAGAAAGGTTAGAACATACACACTCCTCCTATCGCTAATGTGTACATATTCATCAGAAACTTTAATTTCAGTGTTTTCTCATTACACTAGAAAACTCCTATCATTTCCAGGCTTTGAATAAAAGGGTCTCAGGCTTCAACTGTGTCATCCCCGCCGTATTCCAACGTGGTTTTCCCAGCCATCAGTAACAGCAGAGAGTGTGGGACAGAAGAGTAGAAGCAAAAATGTTTAAAAATCACCTGTGACCTCAACAAGAGACAAAGACAGAAACTGATGCATGGAAGTGAAAGGCTACCTCAGAGAAGAAATTACACATTCTGACACTGAGACGCCATTGGTTTTGAGGAGTCAAAGTTCTAGAAAACAATCTACACTGCTTCCACCGGGACCTAAGTCACTGCCACTTAAAGGGACCCGGAGACAGGTCCTCTGGTGTGGTGCTTGAAATTGAGGCTCCCAATCTTGGCAAGAGATGCCCGAAAGGTGAAGAAGGCTCCGCAGCTGAGCCCACGCGGGCCCAGATCTCAGACAAGAGCCTGCGGGGTGACGTCCTGCGGGCCACCATTCACGCACCTCACAAGGCTGCCTCCACCTGGCCTGCGCACCTCCGGGCTCTCTTTACTTTTCCCTGGAGGGTGGAGGTGCCGCAACGGAACTCTCAGTGAATGCCAAGTCACGCCCCAGACTCCTCAATGCTCACACGCTTTCTTCTGATGCAAACGCAGCTCGGCAAGGTGGCCCCAAGACCCAGGCAAGAAGTGCTCCATTTCTCACCAAACTCAACTGCACCTGGGCTGAACACGGGAGGAATACCCCCCCACGCACACACACACACACATTCCAAACCTGAGTTGCAAATTTAAATGTCTGCATGGCACAGACACGGGTGAAGAGGGCCAGGCAGAGGGATGGGGCAATATGGTGCACGTGTCCTGTCTATGCCAACAGCTGCCCTCAGTCCCACACAACTGCTCTAACGTGGGAGCAGGACCCTCTCTCACCAGGTGAAGACGGAAAGTCAGGTACGTATATAAAATCTCTCAGTTCTAAAATGTTAACATCAAGTTCTCAATATGCGTAAGACATCCTAAGGGTTAAACACATCCAGAGACGTTAGCTTTGGAGAGCCAGTGTGCCACCCATCTTTCAGACATTAGCCCCAGACCCAGGCACGCTAGTGTTTGCCTGTAGCCCTGGCAATTTAGAAGGCTGAGGCAGGAGGATTACCTGAGGCCAGGAGTTCAAGTCTGGTCTGAACAACATAGCAAAACCTTGTCTAAAATATTAAAAATATAGATTTTTTTTAAAAAAATCAACAGAAACAGCTGAAGCCACCTTAGACTTGATAAATGTCACACTCTTAGACTGGGCATCCCTGGTGAGAGTCAAGGACACACAGGTAACCAGTCACGTGGAGCTCTTCTTACATCTACCCAGAGGACAGAAAGGGCAGTTTAAACTGGGATCTGAGAAGCGCCCCATCTGGAACCACTTCTGTAGAGACGGAGGAGGCCCAGGGGAGACCACATTTGCTTTTCTGGGGGATGCACCATCTGCAGAGGAAGCGGCCACCTGCAGAGACCTCGCTGTAAAGCAGGGAAAGAGGTAACACCTCGCTCTGCGTGGAGGACGGGCACAGGGCAGGAACGGGGCAGGAATGAGGGAGAGAGGGTCCTCAGAAGGGGCCTCTGGAGACACCTCTTCCCAAAGCAGGTATGACCATGCACGCAGGGGATCAGCAGAGCCAGAACGGCGCTTCCGCGGCTGGGAAGGGAAAAAGGACGCACCTCCGCTGCACCTCTGCGACGTTCAGGGGCTCTGCGCTCCACCAGCCTTTCCTGGAAGGAGCGACTCCGTCCCACAGACACATGCCCCTCAAAAGGACCCTGTGGTGACGAAGACCTCCTAGCCTGGGAGGTCACTCGGACGAACAGGGTCCCTCCACTCAAGTTGCTCAGTTCTATAAAGTCTGTTCACTCTCTCTGCCCACAAATAGCAGAGCTCCAGAGCCCCGGACGTACCTTGACACTGGAATCCCTGCTTCCCGAAGCCCCTGAAAGAGCAGAAGGAGGCAGGTCAGTGAGGGGCCCCTCCACTAGCCGGCTCCCCAGTCTCCCCTTCCGCGGGCCCCCTTCCCCGGGTGCACCTCCTAGCCACAGGCGGGGGGCCGGGGGACGGTGGGCGGGCGCTCGGCGGGAACCCCCGCCTTGAGTCACCCAGGCAGGAGAGGAAACTGCGACCCCCAGGCGGCGGGGCGGGGGAGCACTTCCGTCGGTGGGGGCGGGAGGCAGGCAGGGGCTCTGCCGCGGAGATGCCCCAGCACCCTCGGGGCAAGGGAGGCGCAGATGCGCACGGGCAAGGCTGAGGGGGGTCGCCCCGCCGCGGCCGTGTCCCCTGGGGGGCGCTGGGGAGGGGAGAGGGCGCTCCCCGCCCGGGGG